GCCTTCCTCTGGGCCTTTGCTGGCTCTGTTCCCCACCTGGATGTCATTCTCCTTTCTTCTCTGCCCAAGTCACCCGCGGGGCCCTTGCAGTGTGACCTGCTCATGGTAGGCCCGGTGATTATCTATAAAGTTGGAATAAACAACACAAACATTGTGTCTGGGGCCAGAGTAGCACGCTGAAATCTTGGATGTGTAATCTCGTCAAGTTATATAACATCTCTAGGTTTTAACTCCTTAATTAGTAAGTGTAGATAATAGTAATGCTGATCTAATAGATTTATTCTAAGCACCATAAAGTAAACAAATGTAAAACCCTTAGGAAAAAAATGGTTCAAACATAGTAAACATGAGGTATTCTCGGGAGGCAGTGGAACATAGTGATTAGACACGGTCCATTCTGGACTGAAGCTGCCAGGGTTCAAATGCTAGCTCATCACCGAGACCGAGGACCTTCAGTACATGCTTCAGCAGTCTCATCTGAAAAGTGGAAGTAATAAGACAATCTCCGTCATCATGTTGGAGTGAGCATGCAATGGATTACTTTATAAGAAGTCCTGAATTCCTTATAAAAAGTTTATGAGAATCCTTTCTAAGAAAGAATGAAGTGAGATCATTTATGAGAAGGCCAGCTGATGGCAGATGCTCTTCAAATGTCAGCATTGCGTGTTTATTGAGTGAGGGAGAGGTGACAAAGTCAGGCCCACCTTTTGATCTGAAAGGAGGGCAGGGCTTCTTGGGAAGACGTCTGATCTTTCTTCTGAGCTGCCCATGTGCTGCCCGTGGAGGCAGAGGAATAAGTCATGCTTTTTCAACCTGGCAACTTTTTAGAGACCTTCTAGTTACTGGATAAGAATGTATCTGTCCCGGGCCCAGGGGACTGTTTACCTTTAACTGAGTCTAGAGAGAAACCTATGAGCTCGTGGGGATGCTGTCAGATAAGCATTGGACTGTCACCACAAGGTTGGTGGTTCAAACCCACCAGTTGCTCCAGGGGAGAAAGAAGAGGCTGGCTGCTCCTGTAAAGACAGACGTATAGCTTGAGAAACCCTACACGGGCCCCGTGAGCTGGGATGGACTAGGGCAGTGGGTTTGGCCGTGGCTAGAGAGAAACGCAGTGCTGGCTCTGCAGGCTGAAGTACTTTCAGCCTCCTGGCAAGGATGCTGAGGTCTGGAGCAGGGACACTGATCCTGGAGCTAATGGCTTCAAGGCCATTCCCGAGGCTCTTGGGCTGTAAGCAGCTTAGAGAATCTTGATTTCCCCCTGGGCGAACCTTCATGTGGACAAATAGAGAGCTACACGCTGCTCTCACCACCAGCAGTGGGACGGTGCTAAGAATTCTGCTGTGCGGCCCTCAGCTTTTCCTGTTCCATGACCCAGGAGTCGTTGGGATTCATTTTTCTAGAGACATGCTAATTTTTCCTTTTTGCTTGAGAAGTGGCTAGCACTATGACACAAAGCCACCAGTGGCTATCAAGTGGATTTTGACTCCTGGTGAGCCTACGTGTGTCAGAGTAGAGCTGTGCTCCGTAGACTCCTCTTTCTTTCCTTTTGAAACAGAATGTCGTGCTGCTCAAATTAGACAGACAGCAGCACCTGCTCCAATGAAACAATTTCTGCACGTGCAGTCCGGGGACACTGATTGCATTCTTTAAGTTGTGTGGCCATTTGACCCTCTCCCACATGGATATCTAATCATGTCATTAACAGTAGCTCTCTGCCTTTGAGTTGCTCTTGTCAACTTGGCTGATTATAGATAGTTCCTTAAAAGAACAGCACAGTGTTCAGTGCCCACAGAAGCAGCAGGCAGGAACATTACACTGGGCAAATTAGCTACAAGAAAATCTCTTTAACGTGTTAAAAGCCAAAGATGTGACTTTGACGACTGGGGTTCCCTTGAGCGAAGTCGTGGTATTTTCGACGGTTTCCTGCGGGTGTGAAAGTTGGGTGACGGACCAGGAAGGCAGAAGAAACATAGATGCTTGTGGATTACACGTCTGGTGGACTGCCAGACAGTGAACAAGTCCGTGCCGGAGATATGCAGCCAGCATGCGCTTTAGAAGCACCCATGGGGAGATGTCGTTCCAGGCTGTGACCAAGCACGTCGTACTTGGTGCAGTGGAGGCCAGCGTGAAAGAGGGAGACTCTGAACCCGAGGTGGATTGACACAGTGGCTGTAACACTGACCTCACACATAGGCATGCTGGTGAGGATGAGGATGGCACGGGGTGGGGGGGTGGGTACGGTGGTGGTGGGCTGGGCAGCATTTCATTCCGTTGAACACAGGGTCACTATGAATGAGAATGGAGTCTACAGCACTGAACCATAACAGTGACTGTCTGGATAGAGAAAGCTTCAGGGATTATTTTTGGTTTAAGGTTTACAGATGTTCTCAGGGCAATGGTTTAGAGGCTTCACTTAAACTCAGCTATTCCAGAAATTTGGATTGCATGAGAATTTGACATTCAGTCAGGAGTCTTGTATAGAAGCTTCGATCAAGATAGAAATGGTAACAGGGCAGCATCCAGTTCTGGTCTCGTGACAGAGGAAGCCGTTCTGCATGGAAGCCGGTAGCCGTGTACTCCATTTCTTCTGTTGCTACGGACACGTAGGGACCAATTGCTATACCTTTAGTGGCTCCTGCAAGTTTTTAAGGCCCAGGCACTGTGCTGCAAACTAGGAGGTGGACCAGAAGCACCGACTATCTGGGATGAATAGGATTTCCAATGGCAGAGTTTTCACTGTAAAATATATATGAGAATGTTGCCAGTTCCGTCTTCTCTCAGGTGTACACTTTAGCACTGTCAGTGACATTAGTCATGTTGTGCAGCTGTCACTCATCCTTGTTGCCCTATTTTTGATCACATAAAATCGCCGCTTCCGGAACAAAGGCTCCTACTTCTTCCTCGCTCTCCTCTGTTGCGGTTGTCAGGGGCGGTCGAGTTGGTTCCACCTCGTGGGGAACAGAGTGAAGCACTGCCTGGCCCTGCGCCATCCTGTGCAGCCATGTGTCTTCCCCTCTTGTGGAGGGTCTTCCTTTTCCCTGCCCCGCTGCTTCACCAGGCACGACGTCCTTCTCCAGGGACTGGGCTCTCCTGACAACATGTCCAAAGTATGTGAGACCGTCTCACCATCCTTGCGCCTATGGAGCGTGCTGGCTCTACTTCCAAGGAGAGGTGCAGCCTTTCGTCCTTGTTCTTTGAGCACTGCAGGCTGTGGCATGATTCTTCGCCAGCGCCGTAATTCGAATGGGTCACTTTTTCACGGGTTTTCCTTACCCAGTCTCCCACTGCCACATGGCTGTGAGGTGGCTGAAAAGACCCTGGCCTGAGTCAGACACACCGTAGTCCTCATAGTAACATCCTTGCTTTCCAACAATTCAGAGAGGGCTTGCACAGCAGATTTACCAGTGTAGTCATTTGATCTCTTGACTGCTGCTTCCATGAGCAGTGATTGTGGATCCAGGCAAGACGCAATCCGTGCCAATGTCAGTCTTCCCCATGTATCATAATGGTACCTCGTGGTCCAGTTGGAGGATTTTGGTTTTCTTTACATTCTTTACATTTGTTTATATGCAGTTGGCATCCACACTGAAGGCTGCGTTCCTTGATCTTCATCAGCAAACGCTTCAAGTCCTCTTCCTCTTCAGCAAGCAAGGCTGTGTCATATAAGGTTGCTAATAACCTAGCTTCCATCCCGACACTCCCCTTCTCTTTATATAAACCAGCCTCTCTGACTATTTCCTCAGCATACAGATCAAATAACAGTGGTGAAAGGATGCAGCCCTGACACGCGCCTTTCCTGATTCTCAGCCGTGTTCTGTTTGCACAACTGTCTCTTGAGCTATGTCTAGGTTCCACATGAGCACACCAAGTCTTTTGGAATTCCCATTCTTCTCAATGTTATCCATAATTTGTTATGGTCTACACAGTCAAATGCCTTAGCATAGTCAGTGAAACACAAGTAAACATCGGTTTTTTGTATTCTTGCCTTTGAGACAAGATCCATCTGATGTCAGTGATGATATCCATTGTCCTGCGTCCTCTTCTGCATCCTGCCTGAATTACTGCTGCAACCGTTGTTGGATGATCTTCAGCAAAATTTTACTTGCATGTGATATCAATGATATTTTTCTATTATTTTCACATTCTTTTGGGTCGCTTTTCTTTGGAATGAATACAAATATGATCTCTTCCAATCAGTTGACCAAGTAGCTACCTTCCAAATTACTGGCACAGACGAGTGAGTGCATCCAGTGTTTCCCGGGCTTCACCAGCTTGTTGAAACACTGGCAGTGGCTATTCCATCATGTCCTAGAGCAGCGGTTCTCAACCTGTGGGTCGTGACCCCTTTGGGGGCTGAACAACCCTTTCCCAGTAGTCGCCTGATTCATAACAGTAGCAAAATTACAGATATGAAGTAGCAATGAAAATAATTTTATGGCTGGGGGTCACCACAACATGAGGAACTGTATGAAAGGGCCGAGGCATTAGGAAGGTTGAGAACCACTGTCCTGGAGCCTTGCTTGGGCTAATGCTTTTAGTCTCTATACCTGGTCTATTCTGATTACTTCATATACGTGGAACCATACAATCTGTCCTTGCAGAGGCTGATTTTTCAGAATCAGATCACCACCCTTTCCTCCCAGGTGTGTCTGGGTGGGCCAAGATGTAACCATTTGAATCACACAGAGCCCACGTTTCCTTGCTTTGCTATTATAGTAACAAAGATGTGTAAGCTTTCTCGGTGCCGCTTGTGGCTGTTCCAGGAACTTACATACCAGGATGGAGGTGACCTTTCTCCAGCTTTCTCCTCTCAGTACTTCCCAGCTCTCTTTCAACCTGCTCTGATTCATGCTTGGGGCTTTAACAAGGAAGGTCCGGGAATTGCTCCAACCAGGGAAACCTAAACCACAGGTGAGCGAAAACGGAATTTCCCTGGACTCCGGGGCTTTGTGTCCTAGAGTGTCCTGGGACCACTCTGATCCTTGTTTTCTTCTCAGTTTCTGGAAACCTGGGTCCCAGAGCACCAACCCTGTCAGATCTGCACATGCCTCAGTGGGCGGAGGATCAACTGCACCTCACAGCCCTGCCCCACAGCCAGAGGTGAGTGAGTCCACCTCTCGGTGGGGTTCTTGGAGGAAGAAGAGCTTCTAAGATAATCCAGCCATTTTGCCTTCAGACCTGGTAGACCAGATCTGAACCTTGGGTCCCTAGATTGATTTCCTCGACTCAGCCTGCAGCCCCTGTGTCAGTCGACTCTGGTGGACTTGGGGAATCTCCATTCTGGGTCTGAGGTGAGCCCTGTAGGGATGTAACTGCTCATCTGTCTCTGCTTTGGTGCTCAGACTTATAGTCCTTGGAGGGTAAATTTAAGAACACACAGAGGTGGATTCATTTGATCAGCTGTCTCATGTCTGATTTCCCATGGGACTCCTGTATGGGCCCAGGCTGGTTCTCAGTGATTGAAAGACCATGGCCATTTTCGAGCCTCTTCGTGTTGTTCCACTGCGTGTGTCTTTCTGACTTGGGGGTCCTTCTTTCTTCCAGCTCCCACATGTGGCCCGTGTGAAGTGGCTCGCCTCCATCAGAATCCAGGCCGATGCTGTCCAGAGTATGAGTGTGGTATGTCTCCTGCCTGACACATTTCTTCAGGGTCCAACCCCAGCCCCAGGTGCACACGTTGTGGGTGCTGGAGGGCAGATGGAAAACTACTGGCAGACTGGATGGGCAGGAGCTGATTGGGTTTCCTACAAAGTAGAAGGAGTAATCTCTGGAAAGTGTGATTAATTTGCTTAGAAACATGTGACGTCTGGGAGTTAGCACTAGTGCGATAGAAACATTCTGCTGTGGGTTATTAAACACCAGACTTGAAAGCATTTAGAAAAGAATGGCCAGTTCACTTGTATACGCAGGCATTGACTTAAAAAACAGTCATGCCAAAGTCATCCATTTTTTCCCCGCAGTTAGATCCAGAAGACTAGATCTGGGGAAGGCCATGCGCAGGGCACCTTGATTCAGCAAGTTGTCTGTCAGAGAGCTTAATAATAGATTTGTACACTAAATCATAAATAGCAGGCTGAGTAATGGTATAATTAAATGCATTCAGAGCTGATGGAATTAAAGCTAATGTGACAGGAGATCTCTAGTGCCCTCATCCCTGTCTTGTCCAATGCTTTTATTAATTATATGGACAAAGACACAAGGCACAGCTTGTAACATCAGCAGTGATGTCAATCTTCCAGGGAGAGCAAAGAGACCAGTAGACCGTCCAGGGACTGCAGAAGGAGGAAATAATCTGGGAAATTAATTTACTGGGGTAACTAGAGTGCTACATGGGAGGTTGATCTGACTTGAGGCCAGTTTCTGTCAACTAGGTTTTGGAGTGTTAATGGCAGAGGGAACTGGAAGGGCCACTTAGTTCCAGCCCCTCCCTTTATACACATTCCTAAGCAATTACAACGTGCCAGGTACTTTGTCTACATTCATTCATGAAATCCTCATGAAATAGGGTTCTGACTTTTTTAAAAGAGGAAACTGAGGCGTAGAGGGACCGAGTGATGCTGGTGTGATCTGGAAACCTGGCAAACGACAGCAATAATACATATGAGCTTATCGTGTGATATGGATCAACCTATCTATTCAGCCCACCCATTTATCCATCTGTTCGTCCATCTATATATTTGTGAGGGGGTGGTGGAATAACATTGGATTTTCAGTCTCAAAAAAGTCGGTAGGGGGCCAACGAGGCGGCCCGAGATGCTAACGCAAAGATGCAGATCTCTGTGAAGACCCTGGCGGGCAAGACCATCGCCTTTGAGGTGGAGCCCAGCGACACATCGAGAATGTCAAAGCCAAAATCCAAGAGAAGGAGGGCATTCCCTGGACCAGCAGCGTCTGATTTTTGCTGGTAAGCAACTGGAGGGTGGCCGCACTGTCTCGGACTATCACATCCAGAAAAAGTCCACCCTGCACTTGTGCTGCGTCTGCATGGTGGTATCATTGAGCCATCCCTGCGCCAGCCGCCCGGAAGTACAACTGCGACAAGATGATCTGCCACAAGCGTTATGCTCGCCTTCACACCCCCGCCCCCCCACCCCCGTGCAGTTAGCTGCCGCAAGAAGAAGCGTGGCCACACCTACAACCTGCGTCCGAAGAAGAAGGTTAAATCAGGGCTGCTGTCTGCTGGCTCTCCTGCCTCCTGCTGGGGTTCTCCGAGCCCAATGGCCCTGGGCCCTCAATAAAGTCTCACTTTCACTGACCTGAAGCAAAAAAAAAGTTGGTGGGAAATGGAATGAAAAGAAAATGGAATTTTTCTATAAACTTTTTGATGGTCCTTTATATCTATTATACCATCATCATCTCTTTAAACACTCAAAGTTTACGGATATAGGAAGGTGGGAGCCCATTCACAGATAATGAAAGAGTAACCTTTTTGAACCCCAAGTGACATCCCCATCTTCTGGCTCTCAGCATGTGACTTGGTGAACTGTGACTTGCCCCCCGTGCCTCCCTGTGGAGATGGCCTACAGCCGACACTGACCAATCCTGGCGAGTGCAGACCTGCCTTCACCTGTGGTAAGGTCCTGTGGATGAGGAGGGGCGGGTGGTCACTCTTGCCGGGCATAGGGACAATGTCTTCCTTCTTTGGAACCTATTTTAAGATTATGACAATTTGTGTATTCTAGTTAGCTGAATCTGCTTCTTGGGTATCAGAAAAAACACACAAAACAAAACAAAAAAAAAATTTTTTATAGCACCTTATAAACACTTTCCACTTATATTTTGCTGAAGGTGCACCAAAAATGGGCACAGCCCGGGAAGCTCCCCTTTGGGCCATATTAAGAAGCAGTTGGGCTTTTAAGTGAGGAAGATTCCAGAAATCAATCATTATTAATTGCCCTCAGGCGTGGCTTTCTACTCCCAAGAAGCCTTGTAGTCTTGGAAACTCATGGGAGCAGCTCCACCCTGTTCTATAGGGTCACCGTGAGTTTGCATCCACCAAATGGCAATGAGTCTTTTATTTTTTAAGTTCCCTATGTCTACCCTTTTGTATTCCAGGGAAAGGAGGAAATGTTTCCTTGGTTTGTTCTCATCATTGGATTTTATTCTCAAACAAATTTAGAGATTTATTTTCCTTTGTAGGTTTACATATATAATCACTAAATGCTGTCATTTAAACACAGGGTTAAATGAAGGCAAGAAAACCAATTCTGTATTTCGCTATTGAGAAGACCTGCTCCAACCTCAGGGGCACTCCTAGCCTGCTGATGGAGGATCTGGCTTCCCTTGAATCCCTAGTGCTACCTGTGATAGAAATTGGGACTAGGCAAAGGACACGGCGATATGATTCAGCTCTTATAAAAATGAGATCGAGGACTGGAGAGGGTGGCCAGCAGTTTTTAGTCAACATTGTTGAAAGGCCTATGATTCCAGGAGCTGAAGTGGAGATAGCTCTGCAGATAGGATCAAATAAGCTACTGGCTCATAAAATGTTTACCGACTGATGGCATGCTCAGGCCTTTCTGAAGTTATCCGGGTTTTAGAGAGTCTAGATCTGGAGTCCCAGGGAAGTAGCTGACAGGATCCTACTTCTTCCAGCTATGTATGGGAAGGTGATAGAACAAAGACCAGGCCGACATACTTCTGCATGAGAATTCTAGCTTGACATCTCTCCTTTTGATTAATCTTCTTTTTTCTTCGGCAGTCTAACAATGTTTAGGTATAATTGAATGGGCTCGTAGGTACTACTGATTTAATATAACATTACATTTTTTCTTGGCTGGGTGCAGTGCTCATGTGGCAGAACTAAAGGCATCTCTTTGTGTTGGATCTCAGCCTGCAGGAAAGAGGAGTGTGGACAGGTGTCCCCACCCTCCTGCCCACCCCACCGTACACCGACTCTTCAGAAGACCCAGTGCTGTGATGAGTATGAGTGTGCCTGCAGCTGTGCCAACTCTACAGTGAGCTGTCCAATGGGGTACCTGGCCTCAGTCATCACCAACGACTGTGGCTGCACCACAACCACCTGCCTTCCCGACAAGGTAAGCGCTGTTGGCTCTGGGATGATGGTTGAGCATGTGCTCCTCATGGAAGAGTCACCGCTACCTAAGCTCTCCTCCTGCCTAGACCAAGCACTGCACAGCTTAGTGACCAAACAAGAGTCCACCTTCCGCCTCAATGAAAATGGAGCTAATTCAGGAGATGTAGAGAACCCACTATGTGCTCCGCATGGGTGGGTGCTGAATTCCAAACCAAGTATAAGATATAGTCCCTACCTTTACAGGATTTATTTATAGGCTAGATAAGGAAATAATATGATTTCTCAGATCATTTGAAGAGTACTTACTGGATTACTTGCCATGATATTACTTAATCTCTTCATCCACCCAGGTGCTCTAGTGCTGTGGTAGGGTTACACACTGAGCTGCTAACTACACGTTCAGTGGTTTGAACTCACCAGCTGTCCCATGGGAGAACGATGAGACTGTCTACTCCTTTAAAGATTTAATGTCTCAGAAACCCAGAGGGAGAAGTTCTACTCTATCCTAAAAGGTCAATATGAATCAGAATTAATTCGCTAGTGGTGAGTCTGTTTTCATCTGTCCATCCATCCATCCATTCATCCATCTATCCATCTATCTGTTCATCTGTCTGTCCATCTATCTATCCACCCAATGTTTATTGAGAAAGTACTATGCTCTACTAGAACTGATAGTGTGTTCGGTGCTATGGGAGAAATGTAAGAAGCAGTCTTTACTGGTGATCCTGTTAGTACATATAAGAGAATTATCTAACAACAATATAATAAAATATCAATTGATGGTACAGACATTAAATGTGAATAGAAATTTTATAGGGAGAGAAATCCAGCAAGAGGAGCTATCAAGAATGATTCATTCAGGGTTAGTGAAGATGAAGATTGAGAATTTAAATGAGCAGAATTATAGTAGGAAGCCCCAGGGTGCTCTCAGAGCCTGGCTCAGTATGTTCTCTGTCACTTGTGTACTTCAAGGGGACATTGCTTCATAGCCCCTGCCCAATTGGCACCTGTTTTCAATTTACTCCAAGGGAGCAGAAGGCTCTATGTGGAAGGTTTCAAGTACAAGGACATTACTGAATCTGAGAACTAGAAACCAGCTTTCTCTGTAAATGGAGAGGCATGAAATTAAGTCCAAGCTGTGGTGAAACTGGGCTAAGGCAGTCCCTGTGGGCTGGTGGACCATGAAGCTCTTACCCAGAACCATTCCCAGGAGAGACCAGGGTTGACTTTTCTGAAGATGGTGGTGAGGGAATAGATAAAGGACAAAATCTGTAGAAACATTTCTCTATGTGGGCAGAGACCATGTAGATGTTCTTTATTGCTGTTTTATATTTAAGCTTCCAACAGATAGCAGTCACTCGCTCCTTGTTTCAATGCACCAGGCAGGTGCACTCATGGAAAGCTTGTATCTGCAGGTGTGTGTTCACCATGGCACCATCTACCCCGTGGGCCAGTTCTGGGAGGAGGGCTGCGATGTGTGCACCTGCACTGACATGGAGGATGCTGTGGTGGGCCTGCACGTGACCCAGTGCTCCCAGAAGACCTGTGAAGATGGCTGTAGGTCGGTAAGTGGACGGGCGGGCGGTGGTGGAGAGGAGCCATTGTAAGGAGGCGTAGGAGGGGCCTCAGGAGGGGCACGGAAGGCCCTTTGCTAATCTCTGGTTCAAGGTCAGTGGTGAGGGGAAAGCAGGAGGTTGGGCTAGATAAAGAGGAAGATGCTTGAGAATTTCTATATTATCTTTCTGTGATTCATTCTTTTGCTTGTGGTCAGCAAGTCTGTTGTAAGCTCGAGAGCGCCGCGGAGTTGCTTTCAGCAGAGAAGTGGAGAGGATTAAAGACCTAGGAGAGGGGACTTGATGTTTCATTTCTTCTCTGTCTACTACTTTCAGACACCACTTAGCCTATTCCTGGAGCAGACATGTGTCCTGAATTTACTGGAATTCGGCCCAGTGTCAATGCTAGTATTTCCACTTAGGTTGGTGCTTTTCAAACCATACTTAACAATTTGAAGTAAAGAATGCATGACCACTGAGCCCCCAAGTCTGTTCGTAATTCTTCTTGTGGTGGCTGGTCCCTAAGGCTACCATGTGTTCTGGAGCACCCATTGTCTTGCACATTGATGGTTGATGAGACCCTAGGAAAAGAGAGCAGTGGTCTCAGGGAGATTGGTGGGCCATAGTCTGCATCTGGGCTTAATGCTCTTCTTTGCCTGTAGATGGTAATGATGTTAAAGAAGCGTTTCCAGGGGAGGAAACCTATACATCTGTGGTTGCTGTCTAGAGCCATGGAGATAATGCTCTGTGCCATTTCCAAGAGATATCCTTAGTTTGATGAGGGAAGGGAGAGCCGGCACTGGGAGAGCTCATGCAATTCATCCTCTTCTTTTCCTGCACTGTTGCTTCTGAGGATATTTGGAAGTTCATAGTGACCTTTGAGAGAGCATGATGCTGTAGTACCAGGTATGCCTTTTGGAACATTAAATTTTGGAAGCCCATTGGCCTCTATCTCTTCACACAGGTTATGGGGGCAATGGAGATATTTTGTTATCAAATAAAGCAACTACTGTTTAGAGGCCATTTGTATAAAATTTGTACCCAGTGTATTTTGTCTCAATAGGGCATTTTGATTGCTAAGGACAAAGCCTACTGAAGTTAGCTAAATTAAAAAGGGGCTTTATGGAAGCCTTAGAAGGGAATGTCCCCAATACGAAGTGCAGGAAATGTGGCCGAGTATCATGGGAAGAAATGGTGGCCCAGTGGTTCAATTTCTGCCTTCCCTGTGGGAGCTGCAGGTTCAGTCCCTGGCCAGGTTGCCTCTTGCACAGTCACCATCTCCGTATCACTGAAGCCTTGGGTGTTGCTCTGATGCCGAACAAGCTTTAGTGGAGAGTCTAGTGAGTTAAAAAGATAGGCTAGGTGACTTATTTAGGAAAACCAGTCAGCAGCAATCTTATGGATCACAATGGCCTGATCCCCGACTGACCATGGGGTTGGCCCAGGCCTAGGCAACATTTTGTTCCATTGTACATGAGGCCAAAGTCAACTCAACCGCAACAGTCCTAGAAAGTGGGCAGTGGCCAGACAGCATTTCTCTCCATTTGCCCTATGACCCCTGTCTCTCTGCATCTTTCTGTTCACTTGCCCAGCTTCGTTTGCACGACAAGCCAGCAAGTCTTGCTTTTTAAAAAAAATTTCATTTGTATATAGTGTTATCAAATCTGGCCTCAGCTGAACATGGGCTGTTCCGTTCATCCTTGTTCAATCAGGGCTCATCCTTGTCCGATCTGGCTTGTTTAATATTTGTGTTCCGTATATTCTCAAGAGAAGAATGGGTGGGTATGACTCAGTCTAAGGATCGAATCCCTTGTGTGGTTCTCATTCTGGCCCGGTCAACTGTTGTAGAGGTGCCTGCTCAGACTGATCCACTGGACTGTGGAGGCGGGTCTCATCTGCTACAGAGGCTGTGGAGCTGGAATCCGAAAAGGAGACGGGAACGGAGCCCAGGGGGATGGATGGAGGAGACAGCGTTCTGAACCAGACTCTGGAGGATGGAGTTCTCGGTCTTCATGACTGCATGTTCACTTTTCCTGAACGAGGAAGAGCCCCTCAGGGCTTAGTTAAAGCTGAGTAGGGCTGGGTGAGGGCTGGACTTTGATCTGCACTCAGGGTTGAGTTGAGGTGGGGAGTCAGGGGACTGGGAAGGGCTACAGACTTTTATTCTTCAAAGAGTTTGATGTTCTTCAAACATCAGTTGTGGTCTGACCGCCACAGACTTTAGGGCCCTCCACTTGGAATTCGTTTGTGGTTAGTTTTTGACACAAAGAACACATCATCACCTTATTTTCTGATTTTTTCTTCTCTGACAGCGCAGACGACAAAAAGACACCTTCCCTGATCTCCTCCCCACTTTCCTGCTTCTCACAGCAGAGAAAACGTAAAGGGAGCACGGGTCGTTCCTTGTTGGTTTCCCAAAGAGTTTTATAGATGGGATTACATTCCTGTGACTTCATTCCCATGTGGGCAGGAAGAGGGATTCCTGTACCTTTGTATACACCTTCGAAAAATTTTCCTTTGGAGACATATGAGCCCCCAACTCCAATCTTTGACCCCCAAATCCCACCAAATCATAGCGTTGAGACTACGCTTTAAAGGAGTGGATGTAGCCCGCTATGTTTTATTCATTCTCCTGAAGGAAAAAGAGGCAGCATTGTTCTTCTTGCTTTGAGGATAGAAAGGCTAAGGACTAGCATAGGGCATGAAACTGGCCACAGCTTTGCCATTTATGTGAAGCCAGCAAAGGCCAGAGTGTCCTAACTCTTTGCACAGGGCCTGTTTTCTGAGACCTTTGCAAGTGGTAACACTTGTGGTTACACGGCCCCTGCGAGCCAGGGACGAGGTCTTCACACTGGGCTCCCTGGCAGGCGATAAAGGACCAGAGTCCGCGCCTCCCACCCCCCTCAGCTATGGCATCTGTGCTTAACCAGTGTGCTCCTGTGTACGTAAGGAAGTTATGTTTCAGTGGCGTATGCCTTCCGGCGTAGTTCCTGCTTAGCTCCATTGTTCATTGAGAGACTGGTGACTACAGGATGGGCGAAAAGGTAAGGAGAAGGGGCTAAGAGTATATTTTGAACAATGACAGGCTGCAGGAGCGGCAGGAGTAAGGGAGAAGGAAGGGATGGAAATGTCGAATGGAGCCCCGGTGGACACTGAGCAAATGAAATTCTAGGGGGTGGGGGGCGCGGAAGAGAATCTTATAAATATAACAGCTGGACATTTGGTGGCATGACCACAGGTACCTGAGCATGAGAGGTGTGGGGGCTTCTCCGGTGAGACTCACCCATTGCCCGTACTAGGAGGCAGCAGGACACACTCAGGAGTTACAATTCCAGGTTCCCCCGCACTTCCAGAGGGAGGTACAGGAGTGACACGAGAGCCCTCGCAGCATTCATTTCCCCCTAGGTGCCCCCCTGAATCTCTTCTCCCGAGGTTCCCGACTTCCTTTCAAGGCATTCTGTGTACTGCTTGACAATGCAGGTGTGTAGACTATAGCATCCTAATTTGCTGCCTTGTACACAGCCAAACCCAACCCACAAGATGTTGAGTCAATTCTGGCTCATAGCAACCCTATAGAACCCTATGGTTCTGCCCGATAGGGTTTCCAAGACTTTAAATCATTATGGAAACAGACGGCTGGTGGGCTTGGAACCCATGTTTTTCAGTTATCAGCCCCAAGCTTACCCTATACGCCAGCAGGACTTCTTTAGTGCACCTCAGCTACACAGCCTTGGATCAGCTCAAAGAGGTCAAAAACAGCTGTGTGCTGCTATGACGTGGGTAGGGATATCAGTATGTCCCATGGAGATAGTGTGAAATTGAGCCAAGTCTCTAGAGCCCCCCCCCCCTCTCCCGAGAGAGGCACCAGCTAGATCAAGGGGGAGCAGCACAGGCTAGGCATCCACACCCTTCTCAACACCTGCACCTATTCCTTCTCTCTTACGGATGCAGCTCCAAGATGAAGCACACACCGTCCTGGGCTCTTGCCCCTTGGCTCCTGGGACAACCACGCACGTCATTGCTTTGCTTGTGCTTGGTGCATTGCCTCTGAGTTTTCTGTGGAGGATTCCGATCCAAGTCCCTAATGCGGTGGCCAGATCGGATGACCCCCCCAAGGGGCAAGATAGCCTGGCAAACGAACGCTGGGGTGCTGGTCTCCCTGGCAGGCTTCTTGGGGGAGGCTGATCTCTGTTGCACTCTTATCTCATTTTCCCATCTGAAGAATTCTGGGCTCCAACCACTTGTAAGAAGTCCCTCTTTGCAGTTTGCCAAGAGGTGACAGAGATTCGGGTACTTGCCGTGTCTCATTCGTTAGCCCTGTTGGCCTGGACGTTGTGTTTAGATGCTATGACAATAACAGTTCTCAGTGAGGCCCCCTAGTGAGCAAGCAGGCCAGTTAGCTGCTGCAGCTGTGTGGAAGCCGGAATGCCTTTCGTGCTCTCATGGACTGCCCCTGGGCCTCGAGGAGAGCCTTTCCGAGGGCAGAGTTAGGCCGACTCCATAGTTGGTGTTTGGTAATTGCTTTTTTTGGGCATGATTCTGAGACCAATTGCTGACAAAGACGAAAACTCCCACTCCAGTGTCCCCTCTGCAAAACCCCAGGGCCCAGGACGTATGTCTTTGCCGCTGATCTCTCCGCCTTGTGCCCTGTTCTTTTTGTCCATACAGGGCTTCACGTATGTCCTCCGTGAAGGTGAATGCTGTGGGAGGTGCCTGCCGTCTGCCTGTGAGGTGGTGTCCGGCTCACGGCGGGGGGATTCCCAGTCCTACTGGAAGAGTGTATGTCTGAACCCCCGGGCAGGTGGGAAGGAGGGCAGTGATGTCACCAGTCTGGAAGTCCATGTCTGTGGGCCAGCGTGGATTGCGTTCATTTCTAAAATAGGGGTGTACCTTCTGTCCCTTGCTTTCCCCAGGGGGAGTTTTAATCTAGCTGTTAGTGTAACCCAGGTATCATTTAGGACGATTTTGTCTCTCAGGAACTAGATAAAATGATTTCCAACTTCCCGTTCTGTGACGTCTTGGGGGTGGGTGTGGGTATTCTTTGCTTGTCTGTGAATCTGAGGCCCTGGTCCCACTGAGTGGCTGGTCTCAGGAGACCTCACCCTCCGGTGTGTGCGAATGAACCCGTGGGCTACAAGGACGGTTCGAGACCACAGTCAACCCAGGCACAGCCCTCAGACTTTTCACTGGTTTCCAGCAAAACCACCCCGGCGATGTGGAGAAGGTGGAGAGATGTCTAAGTCACAGAAGCAAACACGCTCTCTGTTCCTAAAAGTCCCCTCAGCTGCGTTTGCAACGCTGCCTGTAGTGTGTGGCCCATCTCCCCATTAGTGCCTCCAGCTGTGCCTCCCATCACAGCCAGATCCCAACTCACTTGCTGATACAGAATGGCTCAGCTTTCTCTTTTGTGACCTCTGCCCCTACCCTCCTAGGCCCATGGGTGCGCAGATTAACTCAGGATGCCCACTAAGCCATTCTCTTTTTTTTTTTTTTTTTAACATTTTATTAGGGGCTCATACAACTGTTATCCCAATCCATACACACATCAATTGTGTAAAGCGCATTTGTACATCGCTTCTCAAAACATTTTCTCTCCATTTAAACCCCTGACATTAGGTCCTCATTTTTCCCCTCCCTCCCCGCTCCCCCCTCCCACATGAGCCCTTGATAGTTTATAAATGGGTATTTTGTCATATCTTGCCCTGTCCGACGTCTCCCTTCACCCACTTTTCGGTTGTCTGTCCCCCAGGGAGGAGGTCACACACAGTTCCATGTAATCGGTTCCCTCTTCCCTACCCATTCTCCCTTTACCCTCCCTGTTTTGCCACTCACACCACTGGTCCTATAGGGCTCATCCATCCTGGATTCCCTGTATTTTCAGTTCCTATCTGTACCAGTGTACCTCCTCTGGTCTAGCCAGTCTTGCAAGATAGAATTCGAGTCATGGCCATTCTCTTAAACACAGAGAGTCCCCTCCTTGGGAAGTTTGGTGCGGGTGCTAGGATAATAGCAGTTCTTTTGTTCTGAAGATGCCCCACAGTTCTTTTGTGATGAAGTTGAGGTGGGTCGTGCTAAGCCCCAGCCGCCTCAGGGGATGGGTGCTGGAAGCATGGGAGGTACACACTCAGGCCTTCCCCTTCTGCTTGCTTCCAGCAGATTGACGTACACTTTGTTTAGAGAGGAAGGCGTGCCCTTGGACCTGCCTCATTCCCCACTTGGGCCCTGGTCCTCCTTAGTGATAACAGAAGGACTCACTTAGCCTTTGTTTTGCCCACTTCAAAGCTGCAGATTTTGTCCATCCTCCCCAGGACCAGAGACCAGCTCAGACCCCAGGCTGGTCCATCCTGATGGGGTCTGAGATCTGGTCCCTTTGAAGACCTGCCCCTGTGCATTTTCCACCCCACTTTGGGGCTCAAACAGCCCTGTCCTGCAGCCTTTATCTCAGCATGAGTGTTTATGAAACAAGTATCGGGAGACTGAGCTTCTCTCCCCACCTCAAGTCTCCGTCTGACGGAGAAGACCTGAGTGTCAGCAATGGTTCTGTGGCCCTGTTTCTGGGAACGTGCCAGGGCGCATCAAGTCATGAATCGTGGTTGGCAGGGGTGAACTAACCCAGGTGTTCCACAGGTTGGCTCTCGTTGGACCTCCCCTGAGGACCCCTGTCTCCTCAACGAGTGCGTGCGAGTGAAGGAGGAGGTCTTTGTGCAGCAGAGAAATGTCTCCTGCCCGCAGCTGGAAGTCCCCACCTGCCCCACAGGCTTCCAGTTGAGCTGCAAGACCTCCGAGTGCTGCCCCACCTGTCGCTGCGGTGAGGCGTGCTGGCCTGTGCCTCCACCTTGGAGCCTGTTGCTCCCTCCCGGTCCCTGCGTTCTCTGCTCTTTTAACAACTGGGTAAAATGAGCAGGATCAGAATCTTCTCTTCAGTGCCTAGAGCGTGCTTCCTTGAGAGAGCAAACAAAGATGAGAGAAGTATAACAATGTCCTGAAGCCCCTCTGCCCAGCTCTGTACCCCATGGAGGCCTTTTACCATGCTTTCATAGAGCCTCACTCATCGATGCAGGCGATGTTAGTGGGTGCTGGAGTTGGCATTCGATCCCAGCCTTGCTTTCTCTGATTCTGGAGACCACCTTCTCAACCATATGCTGTATCACTTCCAAGAGGGAGGAATTCCAACTCTCTGCATAGTTGGTCTGAAGCCTCCCAGGGGCACCTTCGAGGACAGGGCTGGCAGTGGGCTTCTGGAAGCCCGGTCTTGAGAAGCCCACGGAGCAGCTCTGCTCTGCACAGGTGGCATCGTCATGAATGGGGCCTGACCTGACCTGCAAGCAGCAACTCCTGCCCAAAGCCAGCAAGCAGAGAGGGAAACAAAAGCCAGCGCCCCCTACCACCCTGCCTTGTAGTCCCTGTGCGACTTCATCTTGGGACTGGAAGGTTTAAGAGTAGAACTTTATTCTCTCACTGACTGAAACCTCCTCCCACTCACCCCTTGCCCTGAATCCACTGAAACAAGTGCAGTCCCCTTGAGAGTGGATGGGAGCTTCTCACAGAGGCCTGGTCGCTGTGGGAATCTTCCAGGAGTAGGTCTTGGGGAGGGAGGCCCCCGGGGCTCTGGCAACAGGACCCACAAGCTCCGGAAGGAGGACCGAGGCCAAGATGGAGACCAGGAGACCCTTGGGGGTGGGGTGGGGTGGGGTGGAGCGGGGAGGGCTGTCTCATGCCCTGTCCTTCTCTCCCCCAGAGCCCGTGCAGGCCTGTGTGCTCAATGGCACCGTCATCGAGGTAGGTGGCACACGGGTGTGCTGCTGGGTGAAGAGGGAGGCCACTCACCTTCCAAAAGGGCATGCACGACAGCGGGAGACTAGTCTGTAGCGCACTTTCCATCGCTGTAAGCCCCCGAGACACCTGGTGCCCAGGTTAGGACAGTCTTCTCCCTGGGCCCTGCTGTTTAGCATTTACCCTTGGCACCCAGTCCCGCCATGTGGCCATTCCTCTGCATACAGAGAAGTGCCTGGAAGTCCTTGTGCACATTTCATCCTGTCTCCTACTGCCATGCGCATGAAGCCCTGACTCCTGTCATTCCTATGACAAGAGGGGAGAGCAGGACAGGACACAAGAGGAGCCCCTGGGATGGCTCTTGGCAGCTGTGGGCGGGCAGGTGGATGGATGGGTGAGGTGAGGGGGCGGATTGGAGCTCCGGGGATGCCAGGCCAGCCTGACCTGATACCTCTGGTTCCAGCCTGGGAAGAGTCTGATGATCGACGTGTGTACAACTTGCCGCTGCACCGTGCGGGTGGGGGTCATCTCAGGGTTCAAGCTGGAGTGCAGGAAGACCACCTGCCAGGCCTGCCCATCGGTAAGACAGAAACAGCTGGGACTGGGAAGGTTCCTAGGGGCAGAGGACACACAGACCCAGCACCTATGTGACCTAAGCAATGGGACCTCCTTTGGGCCTTTAAATAAGCCTTTCCTTAATTTCTGATTATGGAGAATATTTGATAATAATAAAGAAGAGAGTAAAACTTATTTACCTTAACTATGCTCCTCAGAACTAATTATAATTCTGTTTTGTAAGTTTTAAACATTTTTCTCCTGCGTTTTTTAGTGAACATACTATGAAAAGGCTTAGGATACTCTAAGGGATCCCGGTGCCAAATATTTAAGTGATTGGCTGCTAACGAAAGGCCAGAAGTCAGAATTTACTTGGTGGCTCTACATGGGAGAAAAGCCCAGGCGATCTGCTCCTGTAAAGATTACAACCTAGAAACCCAGTAGGGCAGGTCTGCTCCCTCCTCCTGGATTGCTATTAGTTGGAATCAACTGTACAGCAGAAAAGAACAACATACTACTGCATTAATTGTTTATAGCATGCATATTTATACTTACATTATTTTATTATATATTTAATACTTTTAGGGTATATAATTACCATTTCATACAATTCAGTAGTTCAATCATATTAAGGGTTGCATTAATTGATTTTGGGTATCCTCTAGTGCCCATAATGTTTATCAAACTGGTGCCCCTCCCTCTTCTGGGTTTGGATTTATTATTTGCAGTCCTTGGAGCACACAAGCTGCTGGGCTTCTTCCATGCAGACTTAGCGTCTGACTCCACGTGGCTGTTTAGATGGCTCTTTGTTTGAAGACAAGCCTTTAAGGCTTCAGATTCTATTTATCTGATAGCCAGGCATCATCTGGTTTCTTCACCACAGTTTGCTATAGCACCCACATCTTCAGTGATCTCCTCGTTAGGGTGAGTACCGAGCAGGGACATGTCACAAGAACTAATTGTTCTTATATTAGGGCTACTATCAAGTGAGGGATCAAAATCCATTCATATCTCTATGGTTTATAAATGTCCTTGGTTCACCTTAGAGACATCGTTATCATTTCATTGGACGCAATATCGTTACGAAACACCGTCTCACATTCTTTGAAAACATGAACAGTTGATAACATTAAGAAATATTTATCAGACACTGTGTGCAAGGCTCCATGACTACTGAATATTCATTTGAATGGAAGTGTCATAGCTTAACAAACAGACACATTTTATTATTTGGACCACTAGATGGTTTAAAAGATTGTGATGACTATATTCTAATAACTTTCTCATTGGACTCTGGGAAGTGGAGTCAGCCTTTCTAATCTGATAGATGAAAAATGGCAATTTCTTGCTTTAGTTATGCCATTTAATCCTACCTCACTAGGATTTTATGAGCCCTGCAGAGGTAGCTGGGTCTCAGCTGGGTCTCAGCTCTGGAGGAGGCCTTAGATTCTTCCTCAAGCTCCCTTCTGAGTTGAGGACATTTGCTGTTGTAGGAAAAAGAATTGGTTCAATGTGAGTCAGATGCACCAAACAGCTCACTGAGATGCCGCAAAGGGAGGGCTTCTCGCTTGCCTTTGTGAGGCAGGGGCTACTGGTATGTGTGGCGCTGGAGAGGGGAGTCCTTTGTAGGTAGAGTAGAACAGCCCACCAGAGGGGGAGGGGAGAGAGGTTGGAAGGGAAACTGGGTAGGAGTGGGTGGGTCCTGCATATACTGTATGCACTGGAGGCCAAGAGCCCTCTGTCTTCTCTACGGCATGTAGTACGTGCAGTGTCATGTTCTAATGAGGGTGGCCTAAATGGCATTTGGGGTTGTGTGGCACCCCTTTTGCTGTGGACGGTTTAAAATGCTCAATGAATCACCACTGAGGCGGTGATGGAAGGAGAGGGAGATGGTAACCTATGTGGGGGGCAACCCTACTTGTGGGGGACCAGCCTCCACAACCGAATGGGACCTAAGGGGCAGTTGTGTAATTGGAGGGTAAGTGAAAGAGGTATCAGACAAGGCATGCAAGGGCTCACCTCTTCCAGGAGACCAGAACCAGAGAGTGGGTGAATGTTTTCTCTCACAGGCTTAGATCATCTCAGGCATGCAAGTCATGTCATACACATGCATTAACAGGAAGGGGCCATGTTAGAAGTATACATGCAACAGGAAGGGGGTGTGCTAGGAACCTACGTGTAACAGGATAGTGCATATGTAACAAGATAGGTGGGATCTAGAGTTCAGTTGGTGGTTTGACCTGGTTTATCTCTGAGCTGGCTGGGCCTTAGGTGTCCTGAGCTCTTCTCCAGAGGATCACTCTGTGATCCTTATCAGAAGGGAGTGGGCCATACTTAGGGTGGGTGGTCTGATTTCTCTTGATGGCAGACAACCTTCAAGTGTATAGTAGCTACTATGTGCTTGCAAATAGCATCTTAAAATTGGTATTATTCTGGGAGCACATTGTGGGGAAACAACTTTAAAAAAAAATAATTTTATTGGAGGCTCGTACAACTCTTTATCACAATGCATGCATCTATTGTGTCAAGCACATTCGTACATTTGTTGCCATCATTGTTCTCAAAACATTTTCTTCTTACTGGAGCCCTTGGTATTTAGCTCCTCATTTCCCCCCTCCCTCCCCCACCTTCCCTCCCTCATGAACCCTTGATAATTTATAAATTATTATTATTTTGTCATGTCTTACACTATCTGACATTACCCTTCACCCACTTTGCTGTTGTCTGTCCCCCAGGGAGGGGGTTATATGTAGGTCCTCATGATCGATGGGGAACAACTTTTCGGTTAGGAGAAGACAACCGGGATTCAGCTCCATCTCACGAATGAGAAGGCCTTCCTCCTCAAGAGTCTGCCTCCCAGCCTCTTCATTATGAGCACAGAGAATTTGTCCACTTATAGGCCCTTCCCAGTTCTCCCTTCCCCACACGTGTAGCATCTTCTGGTGGTCAGAAGACATCCAATCCAGGTGTTGTCTCTCCCTGTTATGTAGTCAATTCTGACTCCTAGTGCCTCTGCTGGTCAGGGTAGAGCTGCCCCTGTGGCTTTCTGAGACTGTAACTCTTTACAGGAGTAGAACAAAGCCTCATCTTTCTCCCATGGAGCAGCCGGTGGTATTGAACAGCTGACTGGCCATTTAGTAGCTCAACGTGTAACCCACTCTGCCAGCAGAGCTCTTTAGTTTAGGTGTAGGTTTCAAAATATGTTTTAAGTATCGTCCGTCGCTCCCTTTTGTTTTTTTTGTTTTCGTTTTCCCAACTCCCCTCTGAAGCCTGAAATCTCCCTAGGCTAGTCCACTTACCTCTTGCTCCCTGTGAACCCCCACTTTAAGCATTTCTCAAATCTTGCGGAAAACTGCTCAGGTGACTCCATTCTAGTTCAGCATCCTGCACTGATCTCAATCTCCTCTGCCCTGAAGGGCCACCCTGAAGCCCTCTGGAACCTACCATTGGTGGGGAATTAGGTCCGGGCAGGTCTAGACCAGACTAAACGGTTAAGGTCACCAAAGGTCTACACCAGACTAAGTCACCAAAGAGATGGGAGGCCTTCGTTTCCTCCCAGGGAAGACAGTGCTTGCGCCTTAAGAGGACACCAGCAGGAGGGTGGAAGGGATGAAACCAGCTGTCAAGGAATGTGTGAGGAAAGGAGGGTGCCTTGAGCAGGGCGGGGGAGGGGGGGTGTAGAAGAAAGGATCTTCTGGGTAGGGAGGCTGAGTGGCAGATGGTAGCAAGGGTTGGAGTGGGGAAAAGGAGATGGAGAAGACCGGAGGGCTTTGCCCAGCCCATGCCATGTATGGAGAGAAATGGTGCCTGGGGCGGGAGGGTGAAGGAACGGGGGAATAGGACTGATTGGTTGCTCAGAGTTAAACAAGGGGACTTGGCTTAGCAGGCAGAGGCAGTCGTTGCCCCAGAGAGGGGAGAGCAGACATTTCCAGCAGTGATGTCGTGTTTCCTCACTAGCCCATTCAGCCCTACCCTCTAAGTGTATGGTGGCATATGGAACCCACACCCCTGTCAGCGGCAGCCGGGGAGTCCAGCAGGGTTGAAACACGCGCTCCTTGTGGGTGCAGCTGTGGTCTTGACACCTAGGGGGCTCTGCTTGCCTTATTCAGTCCTGCACGTGGTTCTTCCGTGCCCCCTTTCCCCAAATCTTACCACTTCCTTAAAACCACTGCCCCTCTCCCTATTACCCTCCACCGCTTCTTTCCTCCTTGTTCGTTCATCTTCTGTGACTCCCTCTACTTTGTCCTCTGCATCGCTGGCTCTTTCCCCTTCCCATCGCAGCTCCCCTGCTCCTCCGCCCTCCCCTTCGTCTGTAAGGGTTGGTCCATTTTCCTCGTCTCTTCTTCCAACGCTCACGAAAAATGTCCAAGTCCAAGTTCCCGTGAAACCCTGCCTGACTTAAACCTTCTTTTGTTTCCTCCTCCTGACTCTTACCCACTCACATTCCCTCCTTATGTTTATTCCATCTCCTTTCTTCCTCTCCCATGTACCTTGGTCGTACTTTCCAAGAATTGTGCATTCGAAATAATGAAGCTTAAAGCGCACAATTGATATCCTGCCTAATGGCCTTCCAATACTGCAGTTGTGTCCTTTGGAAGTGATGTTTTCGGCTTGGGCCCAAGTCTCCCTGTGCTGTGCTGTGCTGAGCCCCCTCGTCACTGCTTTCCTGACTACCTACTCCCTGAGGGCGAGTTGAATTCAGAGCTTGATTTATGAGTAGCAAACTGTGTCAATTCACTTCTGCACAGCCTCGCCTACTGGTTGGCAACCCTCAGTCCATGTACACTGAGGAGGGAATAATAGGGAAGGACAGGGTTTCTGTCTGGGGGCTCCACATGATCCTGTTAGAGATTCATGCTGGAGCCACCGCCAGGACCTCCAGTTACTAGAGATCAAAGTGGTGACGACTCAAAATGAGAGAAGGAATGACTGTCATTTGTTTCTCACGAAAGGAAGTGTGTCCTTTTAAAAACGTTGAGCTTCTGTTCCTTATTCTCTTTGGGGGCAGAAAGAGAGTTCGAACAA